CCCCAGGATTTGGAGGAACTGGAAAAGGCACTTCAGACCAAGCTGTCAAACATAGAGATGTTGGGGTCCGGTGACTCTGACTATATCACCCTGGCTGATGTGGAGAGGAGGGAGAGAGATTATTCGGAGCAACTAATGGATAACGTACGTGATGGGTTCCCTTTCCATACAAGGGCCTCGGTTTCTGGGACAAGCTCGATGAAAGCTGCAATAATGAGAGCAGATTTTAGACTTGAATTCCCTGTAACGTCCTGCCCTGGAGGCAGGAGCCCAGCTTCTGAAGGGACATGATAGAGGAGGAGGATTTCAGAAGCAAAGAATTACAGAGGGAGCCTTTTAATGAATTCCCTTCGTTTAAATTTCAGATTCATCTCTTTATCATTCAAAGCTCCGTGTAACCATCGATGTCATTATTTCTGGGGTGAGGGGCATGGGGCATACAGTCAGCTCTAGTTGCCGGCTTCTCCACCTCCTGGCCTCGTGTCCCCACAGATGCTTGTTTTAAATTCTAGAGGGGATGGTTTTTCCCCAGAAGGACCCTGTGTTCTCTTTGGGGTCCTGATCAGTCCCTCTCTGTTGTTATAATATTTATTTAACAGCATTTCTCAGCTCCCACTCTGTGCCAGGCCTGTTATTAGGCACTGCCCACCAGAAACCAAACCACACCCACTGCCACCCAGTCCGTGACAACTCATGCTGGCCCTTCATAGTTCCCAAGGATGCAGATCTAACTGGAGGAGACCACCCAGCTCTCTCCCACAGAGCAGCTGTAGATTCGAACTGATGACCTTTCTATTAGCAGCCTAACATGTATATCACTACTTTCCTTTCTTGGCAATGGGCATTCAGAATGAGCTTGGACGTAGCCCCGCCCAGGACATCCTCACAGCCCAGGGGATTGCGGAGACCAAGAGTGAGCAGATGCTAACTCCGTGTGTCCCATTCACTGAGACAGAGAGAAGCATGGTAGGCTCAAGTCAGGAAGGAGTTCTTTTCACCCCAGAGCTGCTGATGTTATTAGGGGCTGTCGCCTGGTACCCTGCTCATTGTGACCCTGTGAACAACATAGCTAAGTTGTTGCAGACCGAGGGTAAAGTATTTTTATAATTATTATTAATGAGGCAGACAGACAGGAATGAGATAGAACAGAGAGCATAAAACAGGGGCCAGCAGTTCTCCACTGAAGGGCCCAAGCCATGTTTCTCTGTGTATTTATTGATAATCAGGGGAAGCACATCATAAAAAGAATTCCTTGTAAATGAAGCCGAATTTTCCTCTATTGTCAACCTAATGCTCTATCTAGCTCAGGAAGTATTTCACAGGTAGTAACACTCCCTCTGTAGGGGAGGGCCTAGCTGTCTCTTGTCTGCAGGGAACAAACAGCTCATTTTCTGTGATCTGTCACAAGAGAAATCCTAACTTATAAATTTGTAATTCCTTCAATTCCTGAACAAGGGTTTTCATATAATATTTGGTATGAAGTTTGGCTCCCCATACTAAGTGTTCCTGCACCATCAACCACGTCTCTGCTGGGCTTGAGCGCGTTGCTGCCATGATGGTGTCCATTCATCTGGTTAAGGGTCTTCCTCTCCTTCACGTTCTAAGCACGAAAACCTTCTCCTGAGACTGGACCCTCTTGACAACATGCTGAAGTATGTGACACGAAGTTTCCGCGTCCATGCCTTTAAGGAGTACCTGGCTACACCTCTTCCAAGATGGTTTTTTCTGTTCTCTTGTCAGTCCTTGGGATTTTCAGGACTCTTATCCAACACCACAGCTCAAAGGCTTCAGTTCTTCTCCAGCCTTCCTTATTCTTTGTCCACCTTTCACACGTATATGAAGTGATGGGAATCTCCACGAAGGCCCTTCGTTGTCTGAAAGCTTTATTCCGTCTGCATCGTCACAGTAGATTCTAGGGTGAAAAGGCAGCCCTTCCCCGGCTGTGTTTTCAGTGCTTTCATCCTGAGTAGCTCACCTTCTGGTACTATGTCCAACCGTATCCCTCCGTTCGTCCTTGGGTTTTCAAAGGCCTGTGATTTCAGAACAAGTTGGCCGGGCCCCCTGCTTAGTCTGAAGCTTTGCTGAAACCTGTCCACCCTGAGGACCCTGTTGGTATTTAAGATACCAGGGTATAGTTTCTAGCGTTACAGCCGCACACCAGCCACCGCAGCATGGCGAACTGGCCGACAGCTGGTGACCTGGACACTTCTTCTTGTGGGTGAAGTCAATGACAGCTTATAGCGACACTGTGAACAACAGCTCACAGCCTGGCTCGCCCCTGCACCGTCGTTACCGTCTCTGTCCGGCTCAGGCCTGTGGTGACAGTCACCGTGTCAGTCCATCTTGTGGACGGTCTCCCTCTCTCTCTGACCTTTCCCAGCATGACGTCGCTCTCCAACGGCTGGTTCCTCTTGCCCAGAGTAAATGAGATGAAGTGTAACCATCTTCGCCTCTGAGGGGCACTCTGGTTACACTTCCTTCCAGACAGATTTGCTTGTTCTTTTGACACTCCCTGGGGTACTTAGTGTTCTTCAGCTCAAAGACGTCATTTCTTCTTTTGTCATCCTTATTCAGTGGCCAACTTTCAGGTGCACATGATGCAATTGAAAAGGCCGTGCCTTAGATCAGGCACTTAGTCTTTAAACTGACTTCCTCGCGCTGTAGCATGTTGGAGGGGTCCTTGACCACAGATGTCCAGTTAGAGTGGCTGCTTCTTGTTGTTAGGTGCCATTGAGTCAAGAACGACCCATAGTGCCCCTACACAGAGCAGATCTGAACCCTGTCCTACCCTGTGCCATCCTCACAATCTCTGACACACTTGAGCCCATTGCAGCGGTCACTGTGTCAGTCCACCTGGTTGAGGGCCTCCCTCTCTTCTGCTGACCCTTCACCTTCCCAAGGATCATGTCCCTCTTCTAGGGTAGCCTCTCCTGGCAACATGCCTGAAGAATATGAGTTGTTGTTGTTGTTGTTATGTGCCATCAACTTGTTTGCGACTCATAGCGACCCTATGTACAACAGGCCTAAACCCTGCTCTGTCCTGTGCCAATCTCATTGCCTCTGACACACCCATCCCGATTACCCCAGTCACTGAATCAATCCACCTCATAGAGGGTCTTCCTCTCCTGCGCTGTCCCTCCACCCTACCAAGAATGATGTCCCTCTCTAAAGACCTGTCCCTCCTTACAACATGTCCAAAGTATGTTAGGGGGCCGACTCCCCATCTTCTCTACTGTCCTCACTTTCCTCTCCCCCTCACCTCTACTCTCTGATACTCTCACTATCCAGCGTCCTGGGGTCTTAGCTGTGCTCGTTGGTCAGTGAGTGAGTGACTGAGAAGGAACAAGGAGCGGACACCCCCTTTCCCATCCTACATCTCCCAGCCCAGCTTGTCATTAGCTGCTTTTCAGAAGTAGGTCACCAGGCCTTTATTCGTAGTATCTTAACCAGAAAACTTGCTGAAACTTGTTCACCGTGAAAGCAGGATGCGGTCTCCACTGATGAATGCCGGTAGCTGTACGTGGGCTGGCTCGACCAGGACTCGAGCCTCAGTCTCCATCATGGAAGACAAGAAGTCAAATGGTAAAACACCACTGACCCCTAGCAGTCCTCATTCCATTACCACAGCTGGACAGTACATCAGCTGTTGCGGGGGGGAAAGGGACAAACTTAAGGGTAGAGAAAGCTCTGGAGTCCCCAAGCTGATGGGAACAGCTAAAAAGTGGCCGATGAAGGGGTCATTGAGTGAGAATGAGACCCCTGGAGATGGAGGCCAAGCATTTGGAGAGGTGCCAGTTCCAGCAGGTAGGGCTCAGCTCTGACAGTGCCCGCCCCTGAAATCTGCAGGTGCAGGCTCTGCCCTGGCAGTGCCCATCTCCAGAATCTCTCTGCAGATGCAGGCTCTGCCCTGACGGTGCCCAACCCTGGAATCTGTCTGCAGGAGTGGGCTGTGCTCTGACAATGCCCAGTCCTGAAATCTGCAGGTATGAGCTCTGCCCTGGCAGTTCAAGGCTGTGTTTGGGGAAACAGGTCACCAGCCTTTCTTCTGATGTGCCCGTGAGTGGGGTTGAACTGCCAACCTTTTGGTTAATAGTCGAAAACCTAACCATGTGAGCTTTACTCTCCCAATCCATGCATATCTAGAATTGAAATGCATGAAGCTCAGAACCTGCCATATACCTGCTACTGTAAAGGAAAGTTCCCGGCAGATCTATTCCTGAAGCTCTGAGAAGCGACAGTGATCACAGGTTCACATTACAACAAAACCCCAAACACTGTTGTGGAGTCATCTCTGACCATAACAACCCTATAGGACAAAGTAGAACCGCCCATGGGGCTCCTCGGCTCTGCACCTTTATGGAAACAGACGGCCTCACCTTTCCACTGTGGAGCATCAAGGAGATTCAAAGCATCAGACTTTCTATTAGTGGCTGAATGTCTCAGCCCTGCACCACCAGGTCTCCTTCAGGATCAAAGCCAAGCCCTCCACATCCTCGGCCACTTGCAATCCCCAGTTCTGCTCCCATTAAGAAGGGGAGAAAAGCTTCAAAAAAAAGGGGGGGGAAAAAAAAAAAAAAGGCTTTTTTGTTAGGAGTTTTTTTTAATCTATTTGAGTGAAAGTTTACCAATTGCATTTTAGTTTTTTCAGACAATGATTCTCAGTCATTAAGTACATTGACTGATGTCAGGGATGCATCTTGTCTCCACACCTTTTCAATCTGCATGTGGAACAGATTATCCGGGAGGCTGGGCTCTATGAGGAGGAATGCGGCATCAGGATTGGAGGAAGACTCATCAACAATCTGCATTATACAGATGACACAACCCTGCTTGATGAAACTGAGGAGGACCTGAAGCACTTGCTGCAGAGGGTCAAGGACTGTAGCCTTCAATGTGGATTGAGGCTCAATATCAAGAAAGCAAAGTCACCCTGAAACCCACAGCGTCCCTTTCCAGCAGGAAGTAGCTAAGAGAATACGCCGTCCCCTTTTCCTTATGACTCAGGGTGAAGTCTCTCTCAGGGAGGAGTGATAGGGAATGGCAAAGGATACACTGACAAAGAAGATTAATCAGAACTGGCTTTGACAAGCACTGTGGCATTTGGACAAGAACAAACTGGGAGGAGGGTAGAGAGAATAGTGCAACAATGAATGAGTGGAAGCCCAAAATCTCTGTAAATGTTTATGAAAATTAATAAAATATAATTATAAAAAAAAAAAGAAAGCAAAGATTCTCACCACTGGGCCAATTGGCAGCATCATGACAGATGTAGAAGAGACTGAGATTGTTAACACTTTGAGTTTGCTTTTAGTTGGCTCCACAATCAACACTCTTGAAACCACTAGTTAAGAAATCAAAAGGTTAATTGCATTGGGGAAGTTTGCTGCCAGGGACCTCTCCAGAGTGTTGAAGAGCAACAATGTTAATATAGCAACTAAAATGCACCTGATCCAAGCCATGGCCTTCACAATTACTTACTATGCATCAGAGAGCTGGACAATGACTAAGGATGACAGAAGAATTGATGCCTTCGAGTTATGGTGTTGGAGAAGAGTCTTGAACATACCATGAACTGCCAAGAGAACAAACATCTATCCTGGAGAGGGTGAAACCAAGCTACTCCTTGGAGGCAAAGATTCTGAAGCTCCATCTCACAGACTTTGGACTGGGGAGGGACTGGTCCTTGGAGAAGGACATCATACTTGGAAGGGTGGAGGGCCAAGGAGATGATGACACCGGATGAGATGGCTTGACACAGTGCCTGTGGCGATGGGGTCAGGCATGTCAGAGATGGTGAGGTTGGCTCAGGATAGGGCAGGGTTCAGAGCCTTTGTTCACACAGTCTCTACGGACCATAGTCGACTCAGCAGCACATAACAGCAAGACGCAGCAGGCCCCCTCCTCCTACCATCTCTGTTTATTAATTTTTCCCTCTTTTCTTCTCGCCACAACCATTTAATCCATAGTGTGTAGTCTGTTCATTGCAATACACGTAATGTCTGATCATCTATTCATTTCAGATTGACCTACCCTTCGCTTATTGAACGCAGGAATTATCTACCCGTTCTCAGCCTCCTCTCCCCATCACCCCTCCCCGGCCCACGGTCGTATTTTTAGAACTGGTTTTACATGCATAATGTGAAGACTGTTCATGCTCAGTGCCCTCCCTGCCGCGTTGTTCTTTCCAGGAATAACTCACATTTCAGTGGCCTTCCTGCCTTTCTTTTCTGAACGTTTTTTACCTCCTTTGGCCCGAAAGCTGAAAGGCCATTGTCCCGTTCTGTGTCTGCCCTGTAGCGATCAGGACCTGTCTGAGTCTTTAAGCTGCCTCAGCCTTTGCTTCCTGGCCTTATCAGCAGGCCTGTGGTGTTTGCTGAAAAGCCGCCTCGAAGCATCCACAATGGACCCGAACAGGAGCGCTCTCTAGAAGGCCATTGTCACCGGAATAACTCACCAGGCTGTCTCGATTGTCTGCCTGTGTTCTAGATAAGGGGCGACTCATAATCCCCAAATAAAGCCATGCCCTGTTCACAAGGCGCCCCTCATCCCCCTCCTCTCGCAGATGGAAGCCTTCTGGAAGTACGTGGAGAACACCCAGCACTTCCTGGTCCACCAGCTCAAGTGTTCCAGCTCCAGGGCCCAGCAGCTCATGTTCACTCTGACGGAGAGAATGATCCACGCCGAGGACTTGCTGCGGGAATCTCAGGATGCTCAGGCTCTGGTAACAGGGGACAGGGAGGGGACAGAGGTGTCCCAGGAGAAGCGTGGCATCCCAAGATTGGGGGAGCCTGGGAGACCAGCTAGCAGAATCCCTCCATATCACAGCGGAACGCAGCCCATTGCCTTCATCAATCAATAGAGATGTTATTGTGGTGCGAACAGTGGCAGCTTCTGCTGCTAAGAGAAGTCCCTCGGTAGAAAGGCCTGGTTATCGGCTGTTGGAAAAGCAGCCATTGGAGGCCCAGAGGAGCTCAGTTCTGCTCTGACCCACACACAGGGCTCCTGTGAGTCCACGTCTGCTTGGTGACAGGTGATGCTGGTGGCCTTAGGCTGACTGTGGGTGGCACTCTAGGCTGGACACACTGGGCAGTTATCTGGGGAGCCTAAGACACCCTGACGCTGGGTGCCCTGGAGAGTCAGGCTTGACCAGTCCAGGTGCAGCCCAGGCACTGGGGGAGACACGTGGATACTCACTGGCATAACCGGAGCGCTGTCCTTCCTGATGTGGCCGTAGAGGGCGCTCTGGTGGCACAGTCTGCAGGAAGTTAGGCTACTAACTCAAATGCCACTCTTCAGCGGTTCAAATCTACCATCAGCTCTGAGAGGGATGGGCATTCTCTGGTGACAATTTACAGCCTCAGAAACTCACTGGAGGGTCTCTGAGAGTCAGAAATCACCCGATGGCAATGGGCTTAAGTCTTGAGGGTTTGACTGTTGCTTTGAATGAGCTTGAGTTGTTTTTTGAATGAGCTTGAGTCTTGAGGTTTTGACTGTTGCGTTGAATGAGCTTCAGTTTTTTTAAGTAAGCTTGAGTCTTGAGGGTTTGACTGTTGCTTTGACTGAGCTGGAGTTGTTTTTTAAATGATCTTGAGTCTTGAGGTTTTGACTGGTCCTGGGTCCTGGTAATGTCCAGTTCAGCAGCTGGCCTGGCAGTAGTCAGAGCGGCCACTAGAGGGCACAAGAGGATAAGTGCCGAATGCCAGGTCTGCGTGCAGGGAAGGATTGATCCCAAGTGCCCTGGAAGTGGGGAGACTGGACTGTCCAGAGGTTTCAGAGAGCTACACACACTCACAGGGATTCAGAGAACCCCAACACTGAGGGGTCGCAGCTGTTTGTTTCTTACTTGGGTAGAAATGCCAAAGGCAGCAGGTTGAGGTGTGTGTAACATATGTTGCTGTTGTGAGCTGTCAGTCAGAACCGACCCATAGCTGACCCTCTGCGGGTTTTCAGAGGCAGTAAACCACCTGGGAGGAGAGTGTCCATCCTTCTCCCAAGGAGCAGCCAGAGGATTAGAACTGGGTGCCTTTGGGATTGCAGTGCAGCTTCTCACCACTAGGCCACCAGAGCTCCCTTTGTAACATACACAACCCTTGTTTAGTTCAACGGCTATTACATCATACAAAACCCTGCTTCCGTGGAAGCTGGACCCGTGGTCTGGAGTCCGAGCATTTCTGATTGGACAGCTGGACCCTAAAATTGGAGGAACCGTGAAAGGGGATCCGCGAGATCCTTTGAATCATCTGGCATGTCCAAGAAAGATAGGAAAGCTTTCATTAAAACATCATGAAAATAGCCATTGGTGGGCACCTTCTGTGAGAGGCTGTTCCTTGGGGAGGGACGGTCAGTGAAAGAGAGGAAGCCCCTCAGCCAGAAGGTCTGACACAGTGACCGCAGCAATGGGCCCCGTGTGCCAGATGGTGAGGAGGGCACCGGACAGGACGGGGCTCAGATCTGTTGTTTGTAGGGTCTCTGTGAGCCGTACTTGACTCATAATAGCCACTATGCTTGGCTATCATTTTAAAGACCTGACACATTTTAACTTACTATACTTGAACTTGTTAATCTTCCCACAACCCTATCAGTTAGTCCTTTAAGAAAGTTTCCACAGAGTCTGTCCTACCCCGTGCAGACCCCGTGTGTGAACCCCGTGTGTGGACTCGGTAAGGTTTTCAGAAAAAGCTGATTGTGAGAAATCGATCACCCAGGCCTTTCTCCCAAGGTGGCCTCAGGTAAACCCCAAACGTCTGTCATCCTCTCAGAGACACCCACCCTTTTAAAACTCAAACTCAAGTCAACTCATTGCCATCAAGTGGGAGCCGCGTAGTGACCCCAGTGGGTCTCTGGGCTTGTCCATCTCTCGGGAGGAGATTGCATGGCCACTGGTGGACTCGGATCACCCCTGAGGTGTGGCCTGGTCAGCAGTCCAGCTCCTGGACACCCAGAGCTCCCTCCCCTCTGTGAAGGGCCCCCGAGTGAGGCAAATGGTTAAGACGCTCGGCTGCTAACCTAAAGGTCAAAGGTTTGAGTCCACCCAACGGAGCCTCACAAGAAAAGCCTGGTGATCTGGAAACTCACCCAGGCAAACCCTGCGGGGTGCAGTTCTCCTCCGCCCAGCCGGGGTCCCCAGGAGCCAGCACAGACTTGACGGGCAACTGGTCGACTCATTTTACACCCGCAGAAACTGAGGCCCTGGCCCAGCAAATCAGCTGGTCAGGGCTGGGCAGCCACAAAGCTGGGGCCACAGTTCTCCTGGCCCTTGCCGTGATGCCCATTCTCCCCCCCAACCTTGCTCACGCACACCCCACCTCCATCTTGCCTTGACATTAACCACAGAGATGTGGGCCCTCCCTCCTGACCAGGGGCCTGCACGGGCTTTTCAGTGGACTCACCAGGTTACACCAGGACGGCCCACCCTATCCGGCCCCAGCCCTCACCCCGGGTTTGTCTGGGCGGTTGTTTTGAAGGTTTTGTTGTGGTTCAGGTCAAAGTCTGCCGAACACGTGGATTGGCGAGTCAAGAGTGCAGACACCGTTTCAGGACATAGATTACAATCCCCTCAATGTGACAGCACTCTTCCCAGGCCCGCTGTGGATGTCCCATTTCCACTTGTCCTTCCCCCCCACCCCTCCCTGCCTCCTGAGCCTTGTTTGGGGGCGCATGCCGCCCTCTTCATCTCATGCACGCCTGTGTGTGTGTGTGTGCGCGCGCACGCGTGTGTAGTTCCAGGATTGATGAGTGTCTTGGAACTGCAGCCCCAGATGTGTGTGTGTGTGTGTGTGTGTGTGTGTGTGTGTGTGTGATAGTTCCAGGAATGATGAGGGTCTTTATACCACTATCCCTGACCCCGTGTGTGTGTGTGTGTAGTTCCAAGATTGATGTGTGTTGTGGTCCCACAAACCCCGATCCCCCTGACTGAGCTGCCCCCACCCCCCTGACTGAGCTGCCCTATCCTCTGTCCACCCCTGGCCCTCGGGCGCTGGTCCTCTTGCCCCCTCTAGTGGTCACTCTGAGGATCGTCAGACCAGTTGTTGAATGAGAAGGAAAATTCAAAGCCTTGGTCAGTTGGGCTAGTCAAGTGGCCTTCCTGGAGGAGCCACAGTGTTCTGCTGTCCACTGGGGGTCCCCTCACTGTTGACAGTGTTCAGACGCTCAGCAGACTTAGTGCCTCCCAAGCTGGGCTGGGCAGAGGGGACAGAGTGACCCAGCCTTGGCCTTGTCCTCAGGACTGTCCAGCTTGGGCTTCCCATTGTGTAAGCTTCTCCAGGACAGAAATACAATGTAGAGCAGGTCACTGTGGGGGCTCTTAGTCGGGCACGGTGAAGGGGGGAGAGGTAGATGAGAATCCTGAGGGGAAGGCAGTGAGACTGGGCGGACAGCCCAGGGGTCAGCAGCAGGCTGGTGTGAAGGACAGAGTGCCCCTGGGACCCCAGGACAGAGGTCTGTCTGATTTCCCCTGTGCTCTGCCCAGAAGGACATGGTGTGCCTGGATTGGAGCCAGTGGTCAGAGCTCCAAGGCTGTGTGTAAGGGCCCCTGGTGGAGCAGTGGTTAAAGCAGTAGCTTCCAGCCCAGAGGCTCAGACCCACCAGTCACACCACTGGACAAAGATGACGTGTCTTGCTCCATTGTTGTTGTTGATTGCCTTCGAGTCCAGCATGACTCATAGTGGCCCTATGAACAAAAGGCCTGAAGCCCCTCTACAACGATCGACATTGATCAAAGCACATCGTTTCCAGAGGCGTGATGTTTAGGAATGGGCAATTCTACTCTGTCCCACGGGATCAATACAAGACGGCATCGGCTCGAAGCAGGGGTAGGTGGAAGGCCATGCCTTAGCCAGATCTTCAGCCCTCATGGCACAGTGGGTTACGTATTGGACTTATAACCGAAAAAGTCAGCGGTTCAAATCTACCAATAGCTTCACTGGATAAAAAGAAGGGTTTTCGTAGAAACCCAATGATATTGGCATCCACTTGAGGGCAGTGTTGTTTGGGGGCCGAGCACAGGCTGGGACACCCCAGCTCACTGTCTCTGTCTCTGCCCTGCACCAGGACATCCTGGAGAGGACCCTGGCCCGCGAGCACATGGCCAAAGTGATGGAATTCCTGAAGCTGCAGATCCAGGAAGAGGCCAAGTGTCGGCTGGCGGCCATCTCCCATGGCCTGGAGCTGCTGGTGGTGCAGGGCCAGCTGAGTGGACAGCAGACGGAAGAGCTGCTGGCCCAGCAGCACAAGGCCTTCTGGGAAGAGGCCGAGCTCTTCAGCCGGGGTGAGGGCAGGGGGCAGCCTCGCCACCCTTCTCCAGGACAATGTCTCTTGTTCATGTTCTGGTCATGTCAGCATAGTCAGCTCTGGTGACCTAGTGGTAAAGAGCTGTGTTGCCAAAACAAAAGTATGCGGTTCAAATCCACCAGGTGCCCTGCAGGAGAAAGACAGGCAGTCTCCTCCCGTACAATTAACTGCCTCTGAAAGCCTGCTGGAGGGTCAGCCTGTGCATTGATTGTGCCTCAACAGTCTACAATAACAACAACATGTCAGCATGGTGGTGGAGTGGGTTATGTGCTGGGTGCTAGCAGAAGGGTCAGCAGTTCAACTCCGCCAGCTGCTCCCTGGGAGAAAGAGGAGGCAATCTCTCCCATTAAGATTTACACCCGGGAAACACACGGAAGGTGGCCGCATATCTGAGTCTGCTCAGAGGCAGTGAGTGTGTTCTGCTTTCATTTTTCATGGGGCCATCAGCTCTGCACAGCAGCCAATGAAGCCTTGGACCCAAGACTAGTTGGGGGGGGTACCTTCAAGTGACAGAGGACCTATGGCTTTGGAGGGCCAGGACACCCCCCCTCCCGGACTACCCTGCAGGACAGAACTACAAGTGTGGCATGTGCCCTGTCACTGCGGGGGGCTGCAGCTGCTGTGGATGGGCTGAGGGGTGAGCTGTGATGCTGTGCTCTGCCTCCCACTGCAGAGTTTGTCCAGAGGGGCACAGACCTGGTCAGGATGTCACTGCAAGGCCAGGCGGAAGTGATGAGCAGGCTCTGGGTGGTCCAGGAAGAGGAGCACAGAGTCTTCCTGACTGAGACTCAGATGGCCACTGACCCGGATGACTTCCTCAAGGTGACCTGTCCCTGACTCCTATCCATGTCCAAGGCATTGTGGCTGGGACTAGCCCTGCGGGGGGCTGGGCAGGGCTTCCCTACCCATGTCCAAGGTGCTGTGGCTGGGTATAACCCTGAGGGGGCTGGACGTGGCTTTGTTCCCTCACCATGTGCGAGAGATGGGGAGTCCTGACACAATCAATATGCGATCACCCTTCATCTCCCATGTGTCTGCCCAGCAAACTTAGACACATCCTTAGCTCTGTGTCCCCACAACATCCTTGTTGGTAACTAGTAATCAGTGTAACAGTCATAACACTTAGACGGGAGAGTCCACTTGGAGGGGCCCAGATTGACTGAACATTGCAGTGCCTGCCCCTGCTCTTGGGCCAGCCTGGGTGATGGTCAGTGGGCCTCCATTACTTAGGAAAAGTCACACCACCTGTGACAAGACAGAGAGGTGGTTTTGACTGGGAAGGACACTGGCAGGAGCACAGGAAGCTGATGTCACCCTCCAGAAGGAGAATAAATTAGTGTGCACTGGGGCAGCAGGGGGAAAGAATGAGCAAATGAATGAGTGGGTGGACAAATGAGTGGATTAAAAATTAATGAACAAATGATTTGGTGGATGATTAGATGAATAGATGGGTGGAAGGATAAGTGGATGGATGGATGGATAGATGGATGGATGGATGGATGGATGGATGGATGGATGGATTAAAGGTTGGGCAGATGGAAGGATAAATTAGTGTATAAATCATGGATGGATAGATGGTTGGGTGAATGGATGGATGATTAGTATATAAACACATGAATGGATTGATGGTTGGTTGGAAGAATGGATAGAGTAGTGTTTAAATACATGGACTGATGGATGTGTGGGTGGGTGGATGGATAGGTAGATGGATAGATTAATGTATAAATGAATGGATGGATAGATCAATGGAATGATGGACAACTGGGTGGGTGGATGGCTACATTAATGTATAAATGCATGCGTGGATAGATGGGTGGGTGGATGGATGTACAGAATATTGAATGAATGGTTAGATGGTTGGTTGAGTGGGTAGATGCAGGGATGCAAGGATAGATGGTTGAGTGGATGGAGGGGTAGATGAGTGGATTGGTGTATAAATGGAGGCATGGATGGGTTATTGAGTGATTGGATGGGTAGATGGATGGATTGTTGTATAAATGGAAGCATGGACGGGTGATTGAGTGGATGAAGGGGTACATGGGTGGATTGGTGTATAAATGGAGGCATGGACGGGTGATTGAATGGATGGATGGGTACATGGATGGATTGGTGTATAAATGGATACATGATCAAAGGGATGGACGGATGCCAGACAGTTCCATGTGTCATTTCCTTAGGGGTAAATCAGGTGAACACCCTTACCATCTGACGGGCAAGGTCCTTGGGGGAGAATCTTCTGGAAAGAAATGTAGTAAGCCCCCCTCGGGGCCCCAGGAGGACTCAGGTCCTGATTCCCCCACAGGCGTTTCATGGGATCCTAGAGAGGCAGCGGCTGACACGGAGTTACCTGGAGGAAGGAGAAGACGTCAGGATCACGGAGGCCTTGGCCGGGCTCTGCCAGGTGAGGGTGCCTTCTGCCCACAAGTGCCCTGAGGTCTGTGCATGTGAGGTTACGTTCCTGAGCCCCAGGCTCAGCTACAGTCCTGGCATCACAGGTGTGTGACCCCAAGCAGTCCCGTCAATGCTCCCCTTGTCCACACGGTACACGGGAAGCAGGTCTGGTCACACTGGAGGCCCCAGCCGGTTCAGGGGTGCTCTGCAGTCTCTTCCCTCAAATCCTTTCCCTCCACTCCCTCTTGTAAGAGCTTGTTCAGTCTGTTCCTGCTTCAGAGGGTTGCCATGTTGCTGTCAGTGTCTATCATCCATCTAGTTAAGGGCCTTCCTCCTTTTCTTTCTTCCTTTCTTCCTTCCTTCCTTCCTCCTTCCTTCCTTCCTTCCTCCCTCCCTCCCTCCCTCCCTCTCTCCCTCACTCTCTCTCTCTCTCTCTCTCTCTCTCTTTCTTTCTTTCTCTCTCTCCTTCTCTTTCTTTCTCTCTCTTTCTCTTCTCTTCTTCTCTTTTTTCTCACCCTGTATTTTACCACCTCCTTAGAAGCAGCAAATTTTGAGTCTTTATCTCACAGACCTTGGACATGTGGTCAGGAGGGACCAGTCCTTGGAAGGGGACCACATGCTTGGAAAGACGGAGGGTCTGCGAAGGAGAGGAAGACACTGTGAGTGCAAAGGACTTCAGCAGAGAGAGATTGGGAGGATGGCGGAGAGTCAGACAAAGTTTAGATCCACTTGGCCCAGGATGACACCTTCTCCGGGGATCGGCCCCTCTTGGAAGCTTGCTCACAGAACATGGAACAAAGCCTCTCCGTGCTTCGAAGAAGCCTCCTGGCTGCCGAGACAGTTTGGGGGGAGGGGGGAGGTGCTGTCATAGAAACACCACAGTTCTTGGGGTAAAAGTCTAAATCAAGGGTTCGGACCACACAGTGGTTCCTTATGCCACTTCTCTCCTCGCGTAAAGCAGTCTCTGGCGTCCTGTTCCTTTTGGTGAGTTCTCATATAGCTTCTGTCTTCACTCTGTGTCTCTGTGTCTTTTCTGTTCCTTTTATGATCAGGAAGGATTGTCTGTAGGGCCCCCTACAGTGCGAAGACCTTGCAGGCCCAGCACCAAGCCCCATGTCCACACCAAATCATATCTGCAGGTGCAGACAGTGGGGCTTCAGTCTATCTCTGGGTGGACTTGTTTAATCCGTGGTGGTTCTTGGCCTCAGGAGCTGTATCATAGCACCATCAGAAGCTTCCAGAAGCTTGTGGACATCCTTTTCCTTCAGACGCTCTCAGACATGACAAGCCTCCCCCAGGAAGAGCGTGAATACCTGAGACAGGAGGTCCAGGAGGACACCGCCCGGCAGCTGGGGACGTCTGACCGTTTCCGGAAACAGCAGTGGAAGCTCTTCCTGGAGGCCTGGGATCAAGAGAAGCAGGTGAGCTGTCCTCTGCTGGGGTCCCCTCGGTGTGCCCCACAGTGGGGACTGGTCAGCATGTTCCACAGGGTCCAGCCAGCACTTCCCAGGACTGGGTCCCGTCAGCACTTCCCAGGACTGGGTCGAGACAGCACTTCCCAGGACAGGATCCAGTCTGCATGTCCCATAGGGTCCGGTTAGCATGTCCCACAGCAGGGTCTGGACAGCGTGTGACAGGACAGGGTCCAGTTGGCATGTCCCACAGAAGGGTCTGGATAGCGCGGGTGACAGGACAGGATCCGGTTAGCATGACCCACAGCAGGGTCTGGACAACATGTCCTAGGACAAGGTCCAGTCACTGTGTCCCCAGGCAGGGTCCAGTCAGCATGTCCCACTGCATTTTGAACAGAGTGTAGTCACTGTTTGGGGCACACGTGGTGCATCATGGGAGATTCTCTCTCGAGCATCTTGCATTTCCTGTTCTAGACCTTACACTGGTGTCATTGCTGTCAGCTTTGACAGTAACCTACCCAGGGACTGGGGTAAGAGAGCCAGGATCCCCAGCTCCCAAGCCAGGAAGTCAGTGGGTAATGTTTTAGGTTGACCCATTGAGAAAAAGCAGCAGCCAAAGCCTGTCGTGAGCACAGAGCTTGGGTGCAGGGGGAGTCTTTGCTTGGGGGTACAGGGGGAAGCCTTTGCTGGGGGGTGTAGAGCAGTGTTAGGAGTGCGGGAAAATGCAGACATGTTCGTGGTAAAAATGGCACAAGACAACAAACTTAATACCCCTGAGTCGAATATGTGATGTCATGCAATTGTAGAGAGAAAAATGTAGAAATAATGTGCTTTTGTTATTGTTGTTGTTGTTATATGCCATTCTCTTGTGACTCAGAGTGTCCCATATACAACAGCACTGATCCTATCAAGCCAAGAACTCTGAGGGAACAAGCATATCCCCTTTGCCGAAGGATCTTCTGTTTAATTTGGAAACTTTGAACATCTCCATCTACGAGCAAAGTCCCGTCCGGAACAAGCCCTCAGGTTACAGCAGCTGACCATAGCCGCCAGCATAGGTCAGCTCCTCTTCATCCGGCTGGGCTCAGGTCAGCTCATCGCCAGCCATCGTGGCTAAGTTCAAAGGGTGTTAGCCACAAACTCCGGAGTTGGGCCCTTCACTCAGCCTCAGCCCCCCATGGGGCCATGTTAATAAGCCAGGGGTCCTCATGACTCCCTGCTCCTCGAGCCAACAAACCCTTTTCTGCTTATCAGTACATCCGTGCGTGCTAGGTGGACAGTGCTGACAGAACGTGTCCACACTCAGCCTGTTTCTTCATTGTGGTGTGCCTCCTTCTTCCATTCCTGTGGACCCAGGGGGTTGCTATGAGTGAACGTACCAGTGCCCTTCAAGTCCTGGAAGTGGACGCTGATGGGCACCGACTTTAGAAGCCAGTGGCTTGTTTGGGGAGATGTTTGTCAGCAGATGTGCTCAGTACAGCTTCCTTTTTGATTTCTTGACGGCTGGTATCAGGGTGTTCATTGTGGATCCAAGCAAAATGAAATCATTGACAACTTCAAGCTTCTCTCCGTCTGTCACAATGTTACGTATTGGCCCAGTCGTGAGGACTTTTGTTTTCTTAGTGGTGAGATGTAATCCATATTGAAGACTGTGTGGTCTTTGATCTCCTGAAGGAAATGTTTCACATCTTCTTCAGTTTCTGAGACTAAGATTGTGTCATCTTCATAGTGCGGGTTGTTGGGTCTCCCTCCAATCCTGATGTCACTTTCTTCTTCATATAATCTAGCTTCTTAAATGAGTTATTCAACATATAAATGGAATAGATATTAAGAATAGATAGAAAGGTGATGCACACTTTTTCTGATTTTAAACTTTGTTTTGTTTAGACAGTTGTCTCTTGGTCTATGGAGAGGTTTCATTTAACACAATCAAATGTTCTGGGATTCCCATTCTTCTTAGAGTCAGCCACAGTTTGTTGTGATCCACACAGTCAAAAGTCTTTACATGGTCAATGAAACACAGATAGACATTCCCCTGGTTCCCTCTGCTTTCGTCCAAGATCCATCTAACATTAGCTATAATATCCCTAGTACCAATACTTCTTCTAAATCCAGCCTGCACTTCTGACGGTTCTCTGTTGACATGTTACTCCAGTCTTTTTTGGATAATTTTCAGCAGAATCTTGCTTGCATATGATATTAATGATATTGTTTGATAATTTCCACACTCTGTTGAGTCACCTTTCTTTAGGATGGGAACAAATATAAATCTCTTCCAGACAGTTGGCCAGGAGGTTGTCCTCCAGATTTCTTGACACAACCTGGTAAGCACATCCAGGGCAGCATCTGTTCGTTGAAATATGTCAGTTGGTACGCCATCAATTCCTGGGGCCTTGTTTGTTTGTTTGTTTGTTTGTTTTTGCCAATTTTTTCAGAGCAGCTTGAACATCTTCCTGCATCACCAACAGGCTCTTGCTCATTCTTCTGTGTCCGCCAATTCCTTTTGAGACAATGACTCTGTATACTCTTTCCATCTTCTTTTACTGCTTCCTGGATCATTTAATATTCAGTCCAAAGCATCCTTAAGGATTGCAACTCAGGGTTTGCATTTGCTCCTCAATTTCTTCAGGTTAAGAAATGCTGAGCGAGGTCAGCCCCTTTGATTTTCTGACTCCAGCTATTTGCACATTTCATTATAATATTTTACTTTGCCTTCCTGTGCTGACCTTTGAAATCTTCTGTTCAGCTCCTTAAATTCTTGATTTCTTCCTTTTGCATAGGCTTCTTGGTGCTCTAGTGAAATATTCAGAGTCCTTTCTGACATCCACCTTGGTATTTGCTTCCTCCTCTCTCTGTGTGCTGACCCCTGCATTCTTCCTGGATTATGTTATTGATATCCTCCCACAGCTTATCTGGTCTTTGCTCATTAGTGTTCTAGGCCTCAGACCTGTTCCTGAGATGCTTTGAAATTCAGATGGCAGAGACTCGAGGTCAAATTTTTGTTCCCATGGATTTGAATTACATTTCCTTAGCTTCAGATTGAACTTATAACACTCTTGGTACCAGTGGCCAGGAAATTAAAAGACAAATTGCATTGGGAAAGTCTGCTGTCAGAGACATCTCCAAAATACTGAAGAGTAATGATGTCAGTCTGAAGACTAAGGTGTGCCTGATACAGGCCATGGTATGTGCAATTACTTGCTATGCATCAGAGAGCTGGACAATGACTAGGGATGATAGAAGGAGAATTGATGCCTTTGAACTGTGGTGCTGGAGAGAGTATTGAATATAACATGGACTGCTAAGAAAACGAACAGGTTCATCCTAGAGAGAGTGAACCAGACTGCTCCTTGGAGGCAAGGATTCTGAGGTTTCGCCTGACATACTTTGGACATGTTCTAAGGAGGGACCAGTCCTTGGAGAGGGACGTCATGTTGGGAGGGTAGAGGGACATCACAAGAGAGGAAGACCCTCTATGAGGTGGATTGATTCAGTGACTGGGGAAATAAGGGTAGGTACATCAGAGACAGTGAGATTTGCACAGGCTAGAGCAAGGTTTTGGACTGTTGTACATAGGGCCCCTATGAGTCACAGGTGACGTGACGGCACATAACAACAGCAACCACGTATTTAATAACTCCATGTGAGAAAGAAGAGGCCGTTTACTTCTTTAACAATTTACTGCCTCAGCAACCCTGGCAGGGGCAGGGGAGTGCAGGTCCACCCTGTGCTATAGAGACTCTGAGTCAAAACCAAGCGCACGGCAGTGAACTTGATTTCTTGGTTATTTGAAATCCGGGACCTGGAATGTAATAATAACTCTCCTTCTCCTCGCTGCAGAGTCACAACCGACTCAGTGCTGACTGTACGATGGGAGTTTAATTACCGAAGACTGTAAATTGCACTGTAGGAAGTTGCCCATTTTTCTCCCACAGAGCAGCTCGTGGGTTCAAACCACATTGTCTTTGGGTTAGTAGCACTGCTAGAGACTGCGTCACCAGGGCACTGGTGGGATGTACTAGGTACTAAAAGCCTGCACTGTGGCCAGCCAGAATAATACAAATCATCCCGGAGTCTTCTGATCCATTTCCTTCCGATTGTCCTAAAGAAAGCTAAAGTCATCTTATTCATGCCAAGCCCTGGGCCCGATTCATTTCCCCAGACTGTCTAATTCACATAGGAGGCCTGGTGCGCAGTGGCCTGGTTACGTTGTGGGCTGTTCGCAGAAAGGTTGGAAGTTCAAATCCAGCAGCCACTGCTCTGGGGGACGGACGGTGCTGTCTGCTCCCAGGAGGGTTTACAGCCTTGCAAGCCCAGCTGAGGGTCCCCACTGAGTGAGAATGGACTTGACAGTGATGAGTTTAGTTCACTTGGTTCATTCTTAGCCTCTGGCGTCACAGTTTAGGAAGCTCCCTGAGGAGTCTGGCAGGCCTCTGATGTGGGCCACCTGGCTGGAGGTGTTGTCGGAAGACCACTCACCCTGGAAGATGCAGTCCTGGGTTTGAGCCAGGGTGAGCACCTGAGTTCAGGGGTGGCTCCCGCCAGCTAGCCATCCTCACAACTCTGACTCTGTACAGCTCGCTGAGGGTCTCAGAACCCCAACTGCATGTCTGAAACACAGGGGTCAAAGCACCCACCAAGTTCCTGTGAGGGAAATCTTTCCATACGATGTCCTTCCAATAATCCCATCATTTTCTCTTTGACCTTGAAGAGGCTCAGACACGAAGCTCTGATAAAATAACTACACAGACCACCTCTGGTTCCTCTCTAACCTTCTGCTTACATTTCTTAGTCATTTAGGTGACTGTCAGGCTGTGCATGTTGTGGTTGTCAGGTGCTTTCATGGGACCAGTTCTGACCCACAGAGTCCCACACAGGACAGGATGAAATGCCCCCCAATCCTGTGCCATCCTCACCGCCTCGGCTGGGTCAGTCCACTTCTTTGAGGGTCCTCCTCCTTTTCACTGATCCTCCACTACCCCAAACCTGATGTCCTTCCCCAGGCTCCCTCCTGATAATTGTTGTTAAGTGTCATCGAGTCGCCCGTCACTCACTGTGACCCTGTGTAGAACAGCCCTAAACCCTGCTCTATCCTGTGCCAATCTCACCATCTCTGACACACCTACCCCCATTATTATTACCCCAGCCACTGAATCAATCCACCTCATAGAGCGTCTTCCTCTCCTGCGCTGTCCCTCCATCCTCCCAACCATGACATCCCTCTCCAAGGACTGGTCTCTCCTTGCAACATGCCCAAAGTATGTCAGAGGAAGCTTCAGAATCCTTGCCTCCAAGGTGCAGCCTGGTTTAACCCTCTCCAGGATGAACCTGTTCATTTTCTTAGCAGTCCATGGTACATTCAATACTCTTCTCCAGCACCACAGCTCAAAAGCATCACTTCTCCTTCTAGCCTCCCTAGTCATTGTCCACCTCTCTGAAGCAAAGCAAGTGATTGCAAATACCATGGCCTGTATAAGGTGTACCTCAGTCTCCAGACTGAAATTGTTGCCCTTCAGGACTTTGGAGAGGTCTCTGACAGCAGACTTTCACATCACAATACGTCTTTTAATTTCTTGGCTGTTGGTGCCAAGAGTGTTGACTGTGGAGCCAAGCAAACTAAAGCTGTTAATAATCTTGAACTCTTTACCATCCATTGTCCCAGTGGTGAGAATCTTTGTCTTCTTGATATTGAGCCTCAATCCATATTGAAGGCTGCAGTCCTTGACCTTCTGCAGCAAGCACTTCAGGACCTCCTCAGTTTCAGCAAGCAGGATTGTGCCATCTGCATAACACAGATTGTTAGTGAATCTTCCTCCAGTCCTGACCCCACGTTTCTCCTCATAGAGCCCAGCCTCCCGGATAATCTGTTCTGCATACAGGTTAAAAAGGTATGGAGACAGGATGCAGCCCTGGTGTACACCCTTCCCAATTTTGAACCATGCAGTGTTCCCTTGCTCTGTTCTGACGACTGCCTTCTGGTCCAAGTATAAGTTTCTCATTAGCACAATCAAGTGTCTGGGATTCCCATTCTTCTCAGAGTCAGCCACAGTTTGTTATGATCCACAGAGTCTCTCCCTCCTGATTTCTGAGAAGCACTTGGGCTGCACTTTCCCCAGGACAGATTGCCAGACCATCGGACAGTTAGGAGTCTTCACCGTCCTCACAATTCAAGGCATCGCTTCCTTGGTCTTTCTGATCTTTATTGTCACTTGTTTCATTTGTGTTTGTGCGTAGGGTGTGCGTTTTCCTCTACTTAGGGGAAGCTCTTCAAGAGAAATGCTACAGGCAAGAGGCAGCCAGAAGAGCTAATGACCTCATCAGCTGATCAATGCAGTCAGCAGACTCTTCGCAAGGTGTCCATGGCATAATCCACTTGCTGGTTGATTCCTTAATAGCTTTAAATGAAGTAGTTAAGTAATTAAGTGTCTAAAGCAAGATAATTAGAGATCGAGATAGTCTTCTGATTTCCTTATTTCTTCAATGATGGAAAAATAATAAATGAGCTTTCTGTAGTTGAGAGGAATCTTTGTTATCAGAAGAAAAAGAACAAAACCATTCACAGCAAACCGGAAGGTTTTCTACCCTGGAATCAAAGCCCATTTCCCTCACGTGGATTCTGATCAAGGGTATCCCCATCTGTGCTGGGCTGTGGTCTTCACTTGAAGCAGATCTTCAAATCTTCCTGCAATAAACTCATGGTCATGGAGTGGATTCTGACTGACAGAGCCCCACCATTGAGTTGCCAAAGCTGCACACCTTTGCCAGAGAAGATTGCCCCTCCTTCTCCAAAGGAACAGCTTGTGGGTTTGGATCGTTCGTCTTTTAAGTAGCAGCTCAACACTTTACACACATCATCACCACAGCCCCTTAATTTTACAAAGGGTTTCATTTATTTCATAGCCGGTTCCTGATACATGCCACAGACAGTGTGGATGGAGCTTAAAGACGTTGATGTTGAGCTTCAGTCCATATTTCAGCCCTTGACCTTCTGCAGCAGATGCATCAGGTCCTCCTCAGTTTCAGCAAAAAA